ATTCAGTCTACCATTTTCTTAAACTTTAAAATATTTTAATAATTTCAAATTACACCGGTTTAAGCATTTCTCTCAATACCACGCAAATATGTAAACATTTCAAACGAGCCTTTCACATCTATAATTATCTCAACAAGAATTACCGACATAAAAATTTTCCACTTTCCAACCTCTCGAAAAAATTTATAATTATATACATACATAACACAGCTAAAAGGTGAGAGTGAAAATCTTAACGTCAAAAAGAGAAATCATCAGCAGGTAGGAAAAATAAGTAAAATTAAAAGGAGTAAATAAACAGACGGCTGAATAGACCAGCAAAAAGTCAAACATATTTACACAGGCGCGTGCACAAAGCAAAGAAGCTGCGTGCGATAAGTAGACAGCCGTATGAACTAATGAAAATATAATAAAAATGTTGGAACCTACATGTGTATATAAATACATACACATTTACATGATTGCAACACGTACAGCAGGAAAAAAGTTCATAATCAGAAATTAATTTTCTACCGAAATTAAATACTAAAGTGAAAAAATGTTTGCTGGTAAACATATTCAAGTCAAAGTTCCTCAAGAGAAAAAGTGTTCATTAAACATTTATCGTTGTTGGCGTGAATGTTGAAATAACAAAGTTAAAAAAATTTATAACCATTACTGGGATAATACGTTTTGTAATGGCGTTTTCTTTTTTTTAGAAAAAAAATTGCCTTTTCATTGCCCTCTCCTAGTATTTCTGCGTTGAGGGCACTGAGAAGGCAACACTTTTCGGTAGAAGAGAAAACACCATAGCACTTGCAATTTTTTCAATATAAGTACTCCAATAACACTCTATAAAAGCATATGAATGAAGGTTGGCTGAGATTGTTTCTGGCTGGCACACCACACCCAAATATACCAATACTTCTCTATTGATGCCAAATGGTGATAGAAGTTTTAGTTAAGTATGTATATTCGAAGCAGGCCCATCGAGAGGGAGGGGGAAAAGGGGTGAATCCACCCGGGCCCGGGATTCTTAAGGGGCCCGAAATATCAGAACCATAACTTGTTGTTATTTTTTATAATATAATTGCTCCTTCGTTAGAGGCTTTTAATATAAATATTATAAATATATTACGATTCGTGCTGATTATTTCTGACTCTATAAATTAAAGAAAATCTAACATAGTGGGTTTCAAATACCGCTGAAATTTGCTAGAAAACAACTTTCGGATAGTTTGCATCTGAAAGCATAAATATTTAATATACATAGGTATACCTAAAATTCCAAAATGGAGGAGGTACCCTGTTGTTTAGGAGTTATAAATGTTTCAACAGCGGACTGTGGCATTACAATTTTGGGAAGTACTTTTTAAAACTGCTTTGTAATATCGAAAAAGTCTCTCTTCTTATATAACTCAAGAACTACGTATTTATTGAACTGATAAAATTAATTTTGAGGTCAATATTTGCAAAAAATAGTCGGACTGTTACGTTACAGAAAAAGACTGCTAATTATAACCTGTGCGATTATAATTAGGTTTTTAAATTACTTGTAGTCTGTTTTATGCAATAAGTGTTATGAATTCAGTACACTTGCGATTTGACATGTAATCCAAAGAAATTAAGAACATGATGATTATGAATACAGATTTGAAAGTTTCTGTTGCTGTGCAGCTGAGGTCGTTTCAGAAGTAATTATCTGCTTAGAACTCGAGCTCGAGCTCACAACTGCTCCAAGATGTTGAGGATTTTCGCGGTTAAGTACACGAAAAACGGTTTAATGGAAACTTTTGTTTGCTCTATGCCATTTAGTACTATTCTTAAGATCTGATTATGCATACATCGCATAACTTCGCACAACCATTTGTACCAGTTCAATTGAAATCTCACTTAAGAAAATGTTAAGCAAAATCTAAACTCAACAGTTTTTACAGGTTCTGCTAATTACTGGCCAATGGAGTACATACAAAATTACAGTTTGAAATTTATGATAAGTATGCATAATCAGACCATTACCCCTCAGAATGCGCCTTCGAGTGATGCTTTACAATTTTTCCTTCGAAAACTATGGCTATTGAAACATGACTTAATGAGTTAGAAAGCATATCGTCGTTGTTTTTGCAAAACCTCCTACCTTCTGGCACTCAAATTTTTTCTTTGAAAGCATTGCCTTCAGAGCAGGTATTTTCTCTAGCTATTATTTTACAAATCTGTGGTTTTAAAAAAAGATTTTGTGATTTTTATGCATAAATCTCGATGCCTGGAGATCGGGGTTACCAAATCTCACAAATCTTGCCACAAGGGCAATTTAGGAGATTCGTGTAAATATTTATATTGTCTGATACCTCAGAATATGTATGACCCAGATATAATCAAAAATCTGCGAAACCTGAAAACAATGTTCCCCTCGGTTTGGTTTTCGGCGGTTTGGGCCACATGCTTTTAAATTAATGCAAATTTATATAGGGGCCCGTGATCTTTTAGTCCCGGGCCCGAGTTTTCTCTCGACGGCCCTGATTCGAAGTAGACATAATTTATCAACACTTTTTGAGAATTTCAGTAGCGCTTGAAGCCGAAATGTTTTCATGTCTTCAAGCTTATTAAACTCTGGAGCTCTGAAATACCTCAGTCGTTTTTGTGTAAATGCATAGGATGTGTTCTAGGGTCTAGCATTATTTTGTTTTCATAGTAAACACGGCACTCAATTTAGCAAAATTTTGTATTTGTAACTATGATTTAAACAAAATGAAAATATACACTCCAAATATATAAGCTCCGGTTTTTTAAGTCGCTTAATAAGGGGAACTATGTATATGAGCAATTCACAGGAGTTGCTTCATTTTTCGATAAAAACGAAATTGGTGGCACAATTACATTACCCAGTGCATTATCTTCAATTTTGCATAAAGGACAAGATTTCATTGCGAAAATGTATTTAAATTAAAACTTAAAAAAGATATAATCAAAAACGTCAAAATAACAACTCCCTTTTATATGCCCGCAGTTTTGTACGTAACGTTTACGCCCCATGCACAGTCATTTAACACGTTTACTCGCGCGGCTTCAGTTAAGTCATATTAGTTAAAAAAAAAATAAATATCAACGCGAAATATATTTTTACAGCATTCCTTATGCTGCGACAGATATTCTGCATACTACAATTTTTTTGAAATCGATGGCACACTTTTGAAACATCACAGGTATGTTGTGTTTGGTGTCAACTTTCATTGCCGTTAATATTAACATTCTATCTGAAAACTTCCTAAAGTTATAAAAGAATAAAATAAAACAAGTAAGAAAGTCTAAGTTCGGGCGGAGCCGAACATTAAATACCCGGCGCTAGTATTAAATATATGTTTTTCACAAAAGTATGGAGGACGTTTTGCTAGAGAACAAAACGAGAATAAAAGTTTAGAGAAGTTGGCATTAACAATGAGAGGGAAGTCTACGTGCTGCTATGAAATACCCGTTCCCCCTGGAAATCTGGATCATTTAAATTTCCTGAACGTTTATCATTAGGTTAAACTGTCCATTTATGAAAAAAATCATTTTTTCTGCAATCAAATTTCGTGTTCTAATTCTTTCATTGACTTACTAACAATAATAATAATATAATAGATTAGCGCTTACACATATGTTATTGTTTGGCCGAGCTTCTTCTCCGATTTGTGGCGTGCCCTTTGATGTTGTCACACAAAGGAGAGGGGCCAACAGTTTTACGCCGGCTCCGAATGGCGATTGTATTTTTATGAGAAGCTGTTTTTCATGGCAGAAATACAATCGGAGGTTTGCCATTGCCTATCAGAAAATTCCTGAGACTTTAATTCCCAAATTGTTCTTCGAGAAAAAGTTCTTTACACTCTTGTTCCCGTCTAGTTCTTTTCCAAAACGTTACGGAGTCTTTTGTTCCCATTTTTTTTTTCTTATAAATGCTCCCGAAAGTGTTGTTATCATTTTGTTCTCTTTGAAAACATTCCACAGTGTTTTGTTCGTATATAATTCGCGTTGAGAACGTTCTCGACTGTGCGTTCTTGGGAACAAAACTACGAGAACTACATTTACTTTCGATCATACCGTTTGTTCTCGGTTCCTGGTAAAAACAGATTTGGTTTTTATTAACTCTTAACTTCAAATGCATTTCGGTTAGCATACAAAAATTGTAAACCAAAGGTTTGTCTCTACGAGAAGGCGTTGGTGTTATTGGGCACGTTCAGAAGGCGCAACAGGTTAGTAACTGTTGTGATTGCACCTTCTGAACGCGTTGTTGTGTACTTATGATCAACTGAACAGTTGCGTGTTAGATGATTGTAATATTTTTCGGATCATTTGAGTCAACATGTTTTGTGTACCTTTGAGAGTTGAATTTGACAGCTATTTAATGTATCAAGGCGATCAGATGACTCTGATGACTCTACTGATTTCTTTAGCAACGGTTGCGCTCAAGCTGTGCCTTCTGAACCAACCCATTGACGAAAATAAGTGAGAATAAAGAATATTAAAAAAATATATATACTCAGTTTTAAAAATAGATAAGGATTCGCATCTATGTGTAATATAAGCCGCATTATTTTTTATAACAATAAAAAATTAATAACTACATCGATACATTAACAGCACTAAAAATATGTATGTATATATTTTTAAATCCTCCCCATTCACATCAGTGGATATCCGTCTGTTCAACGCGCTTGAATGACCAGCGCAGATCTTTCTTATTCTTTACTTTATTGTCCATTGTAATTTTTCAATCATTGAAATTAACTGCATTAAACATTAAACTGTACTTAAATTTGTATGTTGTTTCTCGAGCGTATTTTCAAGCATAACGTTTTAGTGCTTATCTTAGCGCTAAAAATTGAGTTTTTCTTGCTTATTTTTTGGCCTTGTTCATTAGCCACCTTGGGCTTACATACGTATCTACATAGTATATACATGACCTAGTGCGAGTTATCTAAATATTTTCTGTGTTAACTGCTTTATGTTCTCTACCTTTTTAATGTTTTCCCCCTTATTCACAGATGAAGGTAATCACGCACTACAGGAGTTCCTTGCCGCACGTAATCCGAAGCAGCAACATAGCAGCACTCTGGAATCGTACTTAATCAAACCAATACAGCGCATTCTCAAATATCCTTTGCTTTTGCAACAGTTACGGAATTTAACCGATTCACGAGCCGATGAACACCTACACTTGTGCGGTAAGTACTTGTGCGTCGTTAACATGCGTGAAATGCACGTATATTTTTTTTTTCTTTTATAACCAACCAATGGCCTTCGATAACACTTGAATTTTTCCTCTTAATTAATGATATGATTTTAATAAGTAACATAAATAAATCTTTTACCTTTTGTATATGTAGCCACTTGTGATTTATTTGCCTGTATTTATTTATTTTGTTTTGTGTTTTTATTCGTTTGCATTGCAGAGGCCCTCAAGGGCATGGAAAAAGTGGCCGAGCATATCAATGAAATGCAACGAATTCACGAGGAATATGGTGCTATATTCGATCATTTGTTCCGACAACATCAGAAGTCATGCAAGCAACCCATTGATTTGAGTCCAGGTGAGGTTACTGGTGTGTGCAATGACGTATTCTCTAATGGATATACATATGTATTTTTATTTATTTTATTCAGTCGTAGTATAGGAGCCAATCATAAAATTATGAAATAAAAAATGTTTTTTATTTATATGTAGAATAGCTTTGTAGCTGAAGGGCAATCAAAAAAACGTAGATAGCTATTCATCATCTTTCTACTGCCATATCCTTTACGAAGGCCATTACGCCTGTTTAAGTTCAACGTGTAGTGGCAAATAGAATGGACGCATTCTTAGTCAAAATGGGCTAAGAATTTTGTTTAAGAAATTTATGTTTTAGAATAAGATAAGCACTTGTCTGAAAAATAATATGTCCCAAATAACTATATATATATAGATTGTCATCACGGTCGCAAAAGCTGGTAACTCCTTTTAAATAATAAAATAATTTTCTTACGCTAAAGTTATAATTTTTACTTTTTTTACTTTTTATACTTAAGCTAATGCCAAAAGTTATAAATAAAAAAGAAGTTAGCAGGCTTTATTTCACATCTACGCGAAAATAATTGGAGCTAGAAGTTTTCATACTAAGTAGACATCTTCAGTAAAAATTTTTATTAAAAATAATACAAGAAATTAAGATGAATCATGAATACTAGCAGACGACTTTACTAGCCGTAATAGCTTCAGGCCTATTATGTTAAGTTCAGACAGAAATTTAATTGAGCTACAAACAGCTGCTCGATTATCGACGCGCAGTCAGCTGCTCCATTAGCTACAGTGATGAAAAAGTTGGTACAATGGTACCTTTATTTAGTTTGAAAGTGGTTTCGGAACAAACACAACATTTTAGGTAAATTTGGAGCGTAGTCAAAGCACTTTTCAGGAAATCAGTTCTTATTTTTATCCACATTTCAACGCATTTTCTAGTGGGCATGCAAATGATACAAAAGGGTGGTAAAAGTAGTTGACTACACCAGTAAGAAAGTGATTCACCTTTTCGAAAACATAATTTGTCTCAAACTGCTGGAAAATATTCTTTTTATAGCCAAATATGTTTAATGGGAATCCAGAATTTGATATGGTATCGAAAAGAAAAACTAACTCTTATTTTCCTTAATATATGCACATAAAAATATATATGATGGAATATCAGCTGTAAAATTGGACCGGGAATGAACAGCTGACTGCTATTTGTTCAATAAACATACCTCAAAGTCTAAGTTAAACATAACCAGGAAGGTTGCATGAAAAAATGCATTCAATTGGCATGCAATTAAGCACTAATCGGGCAATTATGAATTGTCATTGTCATGTCAATTGTTGAAATTTTGTATGATGAATCGAGCTCAATTAGTGCCTTAAACGAGAAAGCTTCGCTAATTGCTCGATTTGCTGCCTGTCTGAATATACTTGGAGGCGCTTTCACATCATCCTCTGTCTTTGCATAAACGTGCTTATCAGGTGGGGAAATCTTATGAGACCGCTGTGCAAAATATGGTTGTCAGAATTCGCAATGCTATCACTAAAAACCACTCGGCAACTAAGACATGAATTCGATTCTGTGCTGGTAAATTATGTACATAGATTCGCACAATGATCGCGCAGAGATTCGTTAGGAGTCAGGCAAAAGGGCATAAATATGTCACGTGCGCAGTTCAGAACCGTGTGCTTTCTACCTTTCTCTGGTGCTTTATAATTTGTTCCCTGCTGGTCAAAATTAACGGCTCTAATATCTACGCACGGGTCAATGTAGATTATATTACCTGCCTTATTGCAGGCCCTTCTCTGTCAGCAGGAAAGCACAAATAACACCGAGTATGATTGAGACTTGGTACGGAGTGATTGGCTGTCCGCTAACCCCACCGAAGCTAGCGTTATGCTCTTCACTAGAAAGAGAAATTTGGACGGCTTTATTACCCCTGCCTTTAAAACAGTCATTATTGAAATTTCTTCCGAAGTAAAGTATTTTGGTGTAGTCTTAAAGAGCAAGTTTTTATGGAAGTCTCATGTTGAGCAATGGAGCTCCAAAGCCTTAACAGCGTTCTGGCAATGTAAAAAGATCTTTGGTAGAACGTGTGTCACCTAGGGAAATCTTATAGATATACACCGCTATGATAAGATCCGAAAAATGGAGTTTGCAACCTTTACCCCGGCGGCGACAATACATTTAAGTAATGCAAACAAAAGCTTTTTAATCACACTTAGAACAGAAATAATTTTAACCAGGGCTTCCGCTTGTATATCGTCGCCTGGATAAAAGATTTTCGTATGTTACTTTCGGCGGATTTGGTGAAATCGCGGTTGAAGTTTGGAATGCAATTTCTCAAAAACGCAACAATAGATTATCTCCTAGGACTCGGGGAATGTTACTAGCAGGGACCGAGAAAAAAAGCTATGATCGAAACAGAATGAATAAAACTGTCGAGCACGGTTTCAATGGGAATTATATAAGAACAAAACTCTGTGGAACGTTCCCAAAGAGAACACATTGCGAACATTATTTTCGGGAACATTTCTTAGAGAACGAAATGCGAACAAAAGTCTCCAAAACTTTTTGGAAAAAAACTAAACTGGAACAAAAGTCGTAAGAACTTTCTCTCGAATAACAATTTGGGAACTAAAGTCTGAGGTACTTTCTGCCAGAGAACGAAACGGAAACTAATCTGAACTATTCGCGAAGAATGTAAGATAATTATGCAAATTACATCAACGAAAGACTAAAGAAGCAAACTTTTCTTGCATAGAAACTTAAAAATTTTTCTGTGAATGAGCAGTTCAGATAGAATTAAAAAAAGTGGTTCTCACTAAAACGATTTTTCATCGCAATATGCATACGCCCATCTTATTCTTAACGTTGAAACTTTTGTTCTCGTTATATTCTCTAGCAGAATGTTCCCCAGACTTTTATTCTTATTTTATCCTCCTTAAAAACGTTCTCGATACTTTCGTTCTCATTGAAAACGTTCCCGAAAATTTCGTTATCATTCTGTTATTCTTCCCAAGAGTTTTGTTCGCATTTTGTTCTTTACGGAAACGTGCTCGAAACTTTTGTTTTCATTTTGTTCTCGTTCAAAGAGCACCCAATACTTTTGTTCCCGTTTGGTTCTTTTGTGGGAACGTTATTACGATATTATTCTAGTGCTCTGGTTACTAGTTCAAGATATTTTTGAATTATTGTTTTTTAATGTTTATTGTTAATTATTATTTTTAATAAAATTGTATCTTATTGGACATTTGTCAACAATTTTGTAGCCACTAACTGATAACACCAATCAAAAGATCATATTTTAAAATATGTAACTGCATCTATAACCAAACATCGTCAAAATGGCGCTTACGACAATCTTTTATGCAGGCGACGATATGTAATAAATTAACTCAGGAAGACGTGTATGGGAAATTCCATACTTCCGCTCGGAGACGTAGCTGTCCATTCTTAGCATGCTTCCGTCTTGCTACTGAACCGCGACCATGATGACCTTAATAACTCACCATCATTCCTTTGGATTCCCCTTCTGGAGCGCACTACTAACTGCTACCAGCATGTCTTTGTCTATAGCTTTCCGCCATACTAGGTTTCATTGGGTTCAGTTGGTCTGATGACTGTGGCGTTCATACCATAGGTGATATTCTCCGACGGTTTCCATTATTTTCAAAAAAAGAATAAATGCATGCGCAGTTGCAGAATCCCGCAAGATCAGTGTTTCGCTAAAGTGGTGCAGGTGGACACCCAGTAGTCCACGGGAGACTCAACAGGGGTCTACGTTGGCGTGCAAAAAATATGGGGGTCCACGAGTTGTAAGTGGGGGTCCACTAAAATTTATCTGGTTTCGATAGTAAAGAACCAAAACGGTTACTTGATAGCCTATTTTTTAGCTTAAATTTTTTGAGTGGTATATAGGGCTCTTGCCGCACTTGTGAACTTATTTTATTTTTATTTTTGCCACTTCTTCTTAATCTTCACATTTTTTGATGAGCTTTGGGAATATGTTAGAAATGAGCATCAGAGCTCCACCGAAACCAGCAAAGTTTTGAAAGGTGTCTACGAGAAAAATAAGTTTGGGAACCTCTGTGCTAGACCCTTCTAGCTCTCTTCTCCGCATCTCTTTTCTAATTTAGTTTGGAGTCCATAATCGTTTCGGAAGAGAGACTCAAAGTAATGCTTTAGTCTAGAAATATTTATAAATATTGTGGCTTCGATCAAAAAACTTTATATATTTTCGACAGCTTTATTATTTTCAGCATTTTTTAGGGTTTTCTGCCAATCATAAATAGCAATTAAAGCAATTAATCGCCCTCTAGACACTATTTAACCAAAATTATTTCATTTATTTCGCCAATCTAGGTGATCTACTCTATTATGGCGGCGTTGAGTGGCTGAATATTTCTGATTTCCTTGGCAAAATCAAGAAGGGTTTGGAGTTGCATGCTATGTGCTTTGTTTTTAAATCAGCGGTTGTGTTCCTTTGCAAAGAACGTTTGCGTCAAAAGAAGAAACTTATGGTAAGATAGTAAAAAATCGGATCCATAGTTTAAGTACCGTTGAAACTACTAAAGCACTTTCTTATCTACTTAGGGTGTCTCGAGTAAAAACGCCCCCAATGAAGTCGAAATCATACGCTACCAAGTGCTCATACCAGTCACCGAGGTGCAAGTGCGCGCCTCTTCAGCAAAAGACATGGACTCACATTTCTTATGGGAATTGATACACTTACGCTCGCAATTGCAGCGCCGTTCCGAAAAGGTTTACGTGCTCTCGAACAGCACGGCAGACTTCCGTAACGCATTCCTCAAAACCATACGTCAGATCATACGCGAAAGTGTACGCAACATGTCAATTCCGATGAAAGGATTTGGTAGTTCCGGCTCAGTTTCGGGAATTTCGTCGCAAGGTGGCGGTTCGGGTAGTTCCCAGACGCTGGAACGGCCAAAACAACAGGTCTCGGCGCACATAATTTGGCATTAATGCTTGCATAAATTTATACTCTGCCTAAGTTTGAGTTGTACGAAATTTATATTTACCTTGCAGATAACAATCATTCAAGGCTCACAGACATTAGGTAAACCCAAAAAGAAATCCGGTTCGCAACGTCATTCTGCCGGCAACATCGACTATGATAATCTCTCGGGTAGCCAAGAGGCTGACGATGTGCCAATGTTGCATCATCAGCATCAGCAGCAGCTACAACCAACTGGTTTCCGAGGACGCAGTAAGACCGTGGGCGATGCTATAGGTACATTTATTTATATAATTAAATAGCAATATTTAGGCTCATAAGTTAGTGTCACCAACCTACTCTGAACTTTGATAAATATTTCTCAAGAATCGGCAATAAAATGAATTTATGAAGAGTTTTTTTTTTAACTTTCAACTTTTTATACTAAATAACTGCATTTCGCTCTTTTACCGTTGTCTGCCTTAAAAAGTATTCGCTTAGTAAAACTTACAACCCGCTTTCTTACTTCTCTACTATTTTTTTATCTTTCTCGCTTATTCGACATCAAAATCTTCGGATACAATCTTTTGTATAACTTTTCGCGCTCTTCCAAATTAATTACTCTCACAAACTACATAGACCTAATCTCCTCCTCTATAGACCCACAGCAGCAGCATCAAAAGCATATGCAACATCATCAACAACAAATGCATCATCATCAACAAATGCATCAGAGCGATATTGAGCGCATGGATCCGGGTACCAAATCTGAAGGAGAAGAAGACTCCCAGCAGGGCACAATCAAAGCGAAAGCTACGCTGGGTCGTACACCCAACCATTTGACTCTAAGGTAGATATAACTCGTGCCTTTTTACCTAAAATGATCAAATCATGCACTATCGAACTTCCTATTAAACATTAGCGATCATTTCTGTAATTCATTGCTTTTAAGTTTTCGCAAACTATTCATTTCCTTATATATTTTATAAATTTTTGCAGCAAGCATTTTATAAATACTTCGAGCGGGATATGTCCCTGTCTTTTTTTTAAGCTCTTTTGAACTTAACATTCTTAATGCGACTATTTTTTATTTCGAAATGGGTTTCAGATAAGGGTTTGTTACATCGATGACGGCCAAGACATTTGCCACATCTAGAAAAAAATCTATACTTTTTGGAAATGAACTTTTTACACATATTAAAATTTTTTAAATTTAATAGAAAAAAGGTTTTGAACATTTTTTCGATTTTATACAACAAAATTGTTTTGAAAATTAAAAATGTGGTCCCAATAGCTCCATTTTTCTTAAAGTCATGGTGCGCTTTTTTCAAAAATCGATATCTCGAAAACGGCTGGCCAAAAAAAAAATGTAAAGGAATCAATTGGTATCATGGCGTAAAAATTATGAACAAAATCGGAGATGCAAAAACCAACTAGTGTCCGAATTGGGCCGGACTGCGCCGTAGGCATATACTTATGTATTTAATTTCGCCTTGATGTGCAGTTAATTGAACAGCTCTAAATACGAGAAATATATATACATACATACGCCGTAGTGGTGTTTGCCTATCTCATCGCATTGCTCTTTCATTACAGAGTAGCTCCCCAGGTAGTCAAAAGGCCTACCTTGACTATTTTGTTGTTTTTGCAGCAACTACAATAACCCCACCCAGATTTCGGTCGTTGTCGTCAAACTCAACTGACGGAAGTCCCCAGAAGCGTGAAGCCTCTATTGGGTCTGTCCACAGGGACAACAGTAGGTATCACGTTCAGCTGCGACGACCGCCCCAATATTGGTTAAACCGGAGATAAATTCTTAGGTTAGGTACGTCCGCTCACCTAGTAGTATAACCAGATAGACAATTAATTGATTATGAACTGAGCGTCTGCTAGCAGTGACAGACACAGTGTTCTATGCTTTCCATTTCCTCCATGTCACAGCAGCTGCGGCAGAAATAATAAGCCGGCAGGCCAATTCTTCCAGCAAGCCTTCCCATCAAGCAGTGACTGAATATAAATCCGTTCACTTGTAGAATAGGTTTTAGGCAAATGAGTAAGCCGGGCCCTTTCTTGTCGAAGCTGTACCAGATTTGTAGGGTCGTCATACATTTGGGTTCTTCCGAGCAACTTGTATGTGCTTTCTGAGAGCATGTGTGATTTAAGCCATGATTTGCAGGTAGATAGCGGCCGGAACCTACACAATATATGCAGTAATTTTAGTTATTAACTTGCTAACAACTTTCCTGCATTATACCGCCAATTTTAATGATGTTTCACAGCATTCCTCTAACCTTATAGCTTCTTGGCTACATTAGAAGAAGAGACAAGGTGCAGCCTCTTTCGTAACTGCCAGAGATTCAATGAGAGGTCTTTTGAGTGTGTGGCCATGTAGCTGGAGGGTGATCTTGAAGGCCATTGAACTTGTTTCCAAGATCGAAAGGCAGTTTTATGTAGTCCGGGGACCTGAATTTTGGGGTAATTGCTAAGAATTTTATCGTGACCGAATATAGTCGCTTTCCATTTAGATAATGCACGTTTTCTTACGTTAGGTCTTTCATTTTTTACAATTCACAACTCTCCAATGACTTATTGACCCAACCTCTCTTGAACATTAACATGAATACATTTACCCTTACACTAGAACGGATAAATGTTCTACAAAGATTCTATTAGATCACTTAGACCATTACTCGATGTCATCCACTCGATGAACGAATACGACGCGAAAAACCATAACAGGGGCGTCGCCTTTTTCTCTTATCGCGGCGTTTTTATTGTCCGCCTTATGATGGCAATGGGAAAGTCCAAGATGTTTGTTTGTATGCGCCGTCGTGGTAACCGCCAAAACGCCCAATTCGTTTTTAGAATTGACGATCCGGCGCTAATATATCGGGCAGCAACAACACCGGCACTGAGGGCCGATGGTTTTGCGAATCGGCGCGTAGGTTGCGGTCCAACTTTTAGCTGCACACCGGGGCAGAACCAAGTGTGCCACGAATAGGGAAACATACCTATTGTGAGCGTTTACAAGTGATAGTGATTAAAACAAATTAAACGTTTGGTGGATTACCAATCGGGTGCCAGATTTTTTGTCACTTTGATTTGTTTGTGCGTCAGACGAGGCACGCAAGACTGCAGTCGCGCAGGCAAATCGAGGGAGTGGTGCCAGGCTACACAATCGAGGTTATTGTTTCGGTATCGGACATGGGTGGCATAACCTTGGCGGAACACCCAGCGATCGACGCACATCCCGACCACAGCCTAAGTATTCTTTGTATTGTTGCCTGTATTTTGCCATTAGTGCTGTCGGTAGTTGTTGCCCTATGTTCCTTTCTCGCCCTTTTAACATCCCGAACTCAGAGCCCAATCACTTGGCGGGTTAAAAATATATCCGGCAGCTCAGACGGTGATGCGAGTGGGTTCGTAACCTTTTGGTTGGACCTCACCTCCGCTGCACCAACAAACAGGGTTTTGTTTTTGCATTTTTGTTGCTGTCTGCCGTCTGTTTCGTCATCTTAATACTTTTGAACGCATTGAAATAGTTATTGACTTGTCTCATAATTTTGGGCTCACCCTAGTATTAATATCTGTACGTTAGTTGGTTACATACTAATAGTTGGTGCCGTTCCCCATATGACTGTTGTTGTCCCATCTCCGAAAGTCGGTGGTTTAATTGTATCGCATAGTGTAGTTGTCTTCCCCACCAACAACCCCGCCGTCTCCACTGAACCAGCCGGTTGCCAATTTTTTGTCATTTCCTTTTTGTGCGTATGTGCCGCCAGGTTTGGAATATAACATCCTTCAAATATCCGCGGCTTCTCACGGTGGCTTTGATCCAAGTGGCGCCGTTTCTTTTGGCTCTGCCGCATAGATCTGGCTGAGTTTGAGAAATGGCTTGGGTTATGTTACCTTTAAGGGAGAACTTCATAAAAGCTCACAATGGGAAACCTAGCGGTGTCAAATCGCACAACATTGGTTCAAAATTCACGTCACTTCCGCGAAAGATAACTATACCCTTAAATCGTGCATGCAAAATTTCCATCATAGTGTCCGTTTCGTAACACGTGGCGCCTTCCTTTGAAGGCGAAGAAACCCATTATCTTTGTTATGTACCGCTCGCCAACTTCTCTTGTAATTTAACCAGTAAATAAATAATTTTATTTTTTTTTTTGTTGATAATCATATTTTAGATCAGTGGTTAGAGGTGCATACTACCCCTTCGGTAGGGCCAAGGTTCCATCCCTGCTCAAAGCAACATCCCAAATAAATTACAGAAAGAAGTTGTTTTTTTCTAAATAGCGGCCGCCCATTGGCAGGCAATGGCAAACCTACGAGTATATTTTTGCCTTGAAAAAGCTTCTCATAAAATCCATTTGTCGTTCGCGGACGGGGTAAACTCTGGGTCCCTCCATTTGAGTAACAACATAAAGGCGCACACTACGAACTGGAAGAGAAGCTCGACCAAACACTTAGCAAAAGTGGAAACGCAAAAACATTATAAATATTATTATATTTTTCTATTTACTCTTTATCTCGGTCAAACACTTATCAAAAGTGCAAGCGCCAAATATTTTTCTATAATTTTTTTCTATTCAAATGGAAATTGCTGGCATTTACGATACATTTATGTATGTATTTCTTCTCCTTGGAATTCCTACGTTTTTCTATTTTTTAATTGCCTTAATTCATAGTCATGCTTTTAAAAGTTATCATCTTTAAATCATACCTGTACATATTATAAGGCTAATCGATAATATTTTGTTCTATTTCTTCCCACTTTTTCTTTCCGATTTTACGACATCGCTTCGCTATCTATGCTCTCTTTGATTGTTCGCTTCAAAACATGCTCACCACTACAACCACCACCACCACCACCACCACCAACACTACCCCAACCACAATCAAACTATCCACACCGTTACCACAACCAAACCACAATCCACCATGCAGCACCACATCAACCCTATCGGTCGGCAGCACTGGTAGTCAAGCGCGTTTGATACAATCATCCCATCCGCCATCGAGCTATCAGCCAGTTCTCATGAAAGATTTAGGTAAGACTTACTCAATAACAAACGAACTATCGTCTTCCCCTCAAGCAGAGTACATGGAAGCCACTGCGTCAGCGACAGTGAGCTCTTTGTCCGCAGCTATGGAGGCCACGGGTCAAATGATGTTTATGATCGAAGAGATGGGCATAGAAGTCGGCGAGATGGACGTGGAGGAGGAGGAGGAGGAGGAGCGTGGAGAAGAGATGGATTATGTACTCGAGTCGGATTTGCAGGCTGCATCCGTAGCAGCAGCTTTTAATTTAAGTTTAGGTAGTAGTGGTAGTAGAGCAATAACAATTAGGGGTGGTGATATGGCTAACACAGGTAGTCGTAACGGTAATAATTTACATCGTGTCCCTACTCCTAAGCGTTTGTCGCCTAGACAATCGCCCAAAGCAGATATTGAAGTAATAGAAATTTTCGCTAACGAGCTAAGTCAGTTGACCGCCGCTGAGCAAGTATCGGTTGTGCATCATTCGGGAAAAGAGTCTTCCAAAAAGTCAAGCATGCGCCAGGCAAGTGTCAGTAGTGGTAGCAGTAGCAACGGTGCTACGGCTTCCGCCAGCGATGTAATAACTCATGTAGTCGACAAACACTTAAGTGATCTGGAACACGAACAGCTCACTGACACCACATACGATATCGCCGCTTACATGGCCAACCTTAAAGAGCAAGCACTCGAATCACAAGATCTGCAAATGGACACACAGGATCAGCAACAGAATGACTCAAGTCTTTCGCCGGAGCCGCAGACAGTTGTAGAAAATACCCAGCAAACGGTAGTGGCTGAAATCGAATCTCCCCCTCGGCCTGCCACAGAATCTGACAGCACCGGAACAACGACAGGTACTTCCGAAAAGTCGGAGGATGAATCGGAAGATGCTATGTCAACGGGTGCGCACCATATCATCATTGACAAGAAAGTAGATAAAGTGTTCAAGTCCAAGCCCTCGGAGAAGGCACAAAAATCGAGTAGTGGTAGCAGTAACAGCATTGCTAGTACTGGCACCAAATCGAAAACGACGAAGTCGCCACGTCAGAGTATTCACATTTCACCCGACCGCTCCAAATCGCAAGGTAGCTCGCCCGTACGCATAATAAAGATAAAATCACCTCGTTCTAGTGTCAGTGAGCAGGGTAAGCGATTAAGTGCTAGTTCCAGCCGAGACTCCTCAGCCGATCGCCTTTCCAGCGGACGGCGCACTCCCAGCCCTCGTCGCAGCTCGGAAGGTAGTGGAATACTAAAGCGACCCACCAGCCCAGCTGCTGGCATACTGAAGCCTCCGCCAAGCCCCAGCAAGTCGAAGAGTCCCGACCGAAGCTGCCTGAAGAAACTCGCTCCCGCGCACGACTGCAGCGTCGAGTCACTTTCCCCACATATTTCGCCACGCGATAGTATTGAACACCTATCGCCCGATCGTGCCAGCACGAGTCTCTGCCAGCGGCATTCGCCACGTAGCAGCTTCGACAGCCGCAGCTCTGAGCCAACTCTTGATATACCACGCTCGTCGCTAAAATCACCACGCGGAAGTTTCGAATCGCGTTCTCCTGACCGCTGCAGCCGCAAGCGCAGTCAATCCGCGCATGGCAGCTTTGAAACCGGACAACGCGCTGCAGCGCTTGCTGCCTCCGAAGCCTACTACCAGTATTACCCGATATATGATAATCAGACCTGTAGTGATCATTATATTTCAGCAGCTACAACCGGTATGCAACGAGATGCCGGCACTTCCACGACAAGTACGCGTCGCTTAAGCAAATCCTTGGAGCGTTCAACATCGCGTGAAAGCACTACAAGCAGCTCGTATCGTTACGGCGTTTCACCGGAACGCATTTACACAATCAACACAATGGGTACTGGTCCCTTGCGTTCGCAGTCGGCTGAAAACGCATTTGAACGTTACGCCTACGATCCGCACACGGGGCAACATTATCAAGTGCAAGCGCGAGAATCGGCCACTGCTGCTCCACCTGCCGCCTTCATGTACAGCCACGAACCACAGTGTCCACACGAGCGTATCGCCGCATACCAGCTCAGCTCGTCTGCGCCCGAATACACGACATGTATTGACTGTATGTACCAGAAGAGACCCTCCTAGCATAAGGCCCGCGTGCGGCAGAGTCGTACGCGGAAGAAGACACCACGTGGCGTAGTTCAACCACCGACGGCAACGGCTTCGGGTATGATTTGTGCGGCCAGCTTTGATCCGGAGGCAGCCGTTGCGGCGGGTGCTAGCGAGGCAAGCGGTTGTGTGGATTGTCACGACTACTACGAGATACACGTTTAAATGGAAATTAAATAACTGAAATGAAATACATATATATTTAAAAAAAAAAAAGTATCTAAACCTAAAAGAAAATCTTACTTGTGCAGTCCTTACATACGTACATTACCATCAGAACCATCAGAAATGAACTTGTTGCCATCCAAAGGTCCTCAACTAATAAGTTTACATACATATGTACATATTTATGTGCATATGCGTAAACGTATGTATTTATCTTTGTTGTTTGTCACAGGGATTTTTGAAAAACTAAGCTATGTATAAGTATCGCATATATATGTATATGTACATGTTTGTATACCAAGAATAGGTTCTTCAAGTGTTCAGAATAAGGATTAGTATTTACTACAAGTACGTGTAAAGTGATGGCCTCAATACTTTTTGTTTCCTTTGAATTATTACACCGTACGACAAAATCAAAAAAATTTCAAAACACACGAAGCAATCAATATGCTCACGAAACAATGGGCTAAATATAGTAAAGCTGCGTTTTTATTTTTTCACGTTGACGTCAGGATTTTTTAAAGGACTTTGAAATTTTGAAGATATGATTAATTCAAAAAATTATTACAAAAAAAATCAGTGCAATGTAGAATAATAATATGGATACCAAATGCAAGAGAAAATTCTGTAGAATTAAAAAACAATAAAGTTTTTGGTTTACAAGAACGAATAAGTATTAAAAATGCGCTTTTTAATTAATTCTATTTTTTTAAGCCAATAAAGTTAGGAGAACGAAATTCGAGGATGTGGTCATGTATATATTAGTCCTTAATATATATTTTGTTCAAAAATAAATATTGCAAATTTTCAAGGATATACAAGGATAAAATTTTAAAAGGAAATTTTCCATACCCATTCGTCCTTTTGCACCAAAAATATTAATATTTGTTAATTCTATAGCATTTTCTCTTTTATTTGATACCAACATTGATATTCTACATTGCACTGAAATTTTTTAATAATTAAAAAACAAATCCTGACGTCAGAGTGAAAAATTAAGAACGCTGTTTTACTATAATTTGCTCATATATTCGCGAATATATTAATTTTTGTGGGTGTAAAATTTACTGTCGCACGGTGTTATGAAAGAAAATACTTAAATTATTCGAGTAATGAAAATTATTCTCTTTGAGTGCTATCTACAAAAATTAATTGGTAAAAAATAGAGGCGTGTTTTGAGTTAATACATTACTACTTGTTGTATTTGCATTGTAATTGGAAGTGTTTTTGAAAACGTATGTATACATACGTACCTGCTTATTTATACGTAATGTAAGTAATTATGTGTAGAGATTTACAATACATACATAAACACTTAGATGCGAGAACATGCATTGTATAAGTACATTACATAACGTTTTCATCTAACAATGTACAGGGAAAATTCGTAACTAAAATAAGTAAGTTTAAATTTATGTAAGAAAATAACATAGGTACATATAGTACATACCTGCGTCTAATATGTATAGTACATACCTGCGTCTAATATTCAAAAAAAAAAAAAAAAAATTCAGATCTCTGATAAGTCTTGAGATTTCGTATATTAGATTAAAAAAAAAATGATGGCGCCTGCTCCATATGGGTTTAAGAGGTCGCTACCGGCGCTTGAAATTTCAATTTTTCACTAACTTCGAAATTTCGTATCAAAGGATAATTCGATAACTAAGGTCGTATATTTTCAGAAAAACAAAGTGGTTTCTATACAACAATTTAACGCTGAAACGATGTAATAAATAGTTCGTTTTTCTTCAAAAATTACTTACGCTCCGCAATACCGCATTTAGGGGTTTCAAGCCCATCTTGGAGCAGGCGCCATCTTTTTAATCAAATATACGAAATCCCAAGGCTTATCGAAGATCCGAAAACTATTTGTTGAAACAGTTTAATGCATATGTATGTAGATTTTCGTGTTGTGGTGGCGAAACGCGTTGAAGGAAAAACAATATTTTTAAATATTTGATCTACAAATCTCGTCCTCATGTGTCTTCCTCTATAAAAAATATATATATATATATATATATTCAATTTATAAACGCAACCGAGTTTGGAAACTAATTGTTTTAATGAACAAAAGTTATAAAGTAGTAGTATGTATATTTCGTGCTAATATTTGTTTACAAGGCTAAAAATTCTGAACAGCTCAGTTCAAAGTTACAAAAATAGATGAAAAGAATAAGCAAAATGTTCAATTTCCAAACACTAATTTATATAAATAACTGGTTTACATTATTCACAATAATAACTGGATTCAATGCATTCCACGCCAGATTAGATAATTTCAATTCCAATACACAACCCTGCTTAAGATCCCTTTCTTAAAATATTACTGATACAATGTAAACCAGTCATTAGCAATATATTTTATATATAATTTAAAAACTGCAAATTTTGTACTTGTAACCGAAATGACGGTACATACATACATATGTACATATATCCTCAAAATAATACTGGGTGATTCACAAGGTGTCACAACTGTTATACTGGTATAAAGTCATCAATTTAAAAACGTTTAAAACTCCTTTGTGTTTGCTATGAACCACTCAAAAATAAGTTTAACCTTTATAAAATTTATAACAATGCGACAAGTTATGACAGCTTGTAAATCACCCATATGTAAGTATATATGTACTTATATGTAAAATACGCTCCAATTGTCCTAAAATTCTGCTAACAAATTGGCAAAGGCTGTACTGTCCTCTCATAACTAATGGCTGAGGATGGAATTTACATAGGGATCAACAAGTCAACAAGCTCTTCCAAACTCTAAAAAGCAAAGTTGGAACTGCAGTATGGTCCGATCGCAAGTTTAATTTATGGGTCCGCCTAAACCCTACAAAAACCCCGAAAAATGCAATGGGAGACCAATAAAAAATATTTTTTATTTCAAATAGTTACATAAACAATTGGGTATTGTTATTGAAAGTCTCCTGAAGAGAACCAGAGCTTGTCGATCGAAAAATATTGATTTTCAAGAATTCTATATCATTTCTACGAAAAGTTGTTTTTTTCTCCATATAAAAATACATGGAAAACTTTGAGAGCTTTGAGCGACCTCTAAAAATTGTTTGATTTCACAATAAAAAACGGGGGTATACTTTTTTCGGTTCGGAACAATCCTAGGGGTAGAGCATTACAATTCCGACTTTACTGTTTTTGGACCGCCCTAATGTACATATGTAATGTACTGTTCATAAATTCACTGGCGCCTTCCTTTTTTAACCAAGTTGATTATTTTTTTTTTTTTTTACTTATAAAACTACCAAGAGATCAATTGAGCCTGATTTCTTGAATTGAAACTGCATACCCAACATTTTTCTAAAAATTAAAAAAAAAAATTGTTTTCAACTACTTTTTAGTAAGTAGCATTTATTAACTACAACGGGAGAATCGATTTTCTTCAAAATTATTACTTTTGCTGCACGCTGCACTGAACAATTTAATATCAGCAAATAAACATTCAAAAATCGTACTCAACTGATCTCGTGCCCACTTTATAAGCTTTCATTTAAATCATTTAAATTAATCAAATGGTTGAAAAATTAAGGCTCCATTGAGTTATGAATAGTAAACCCCTGTTTTGAACCACTATGCACCGGTGCACAGTGGTCGGAGAAGCTGTGTTACGCGAAAAATTAGAAGAACTGCTACGATTATAATAAAAACGCATCTTCGTAGTATTTTTGTTATGCTAAATCTGAATATGCCATCAAATTTTTAGTTTGACTGTTGACAGCTGTCAAATCAACTGCAAATTTCTCTAAAATTAAGAAAATCTTTTTGAAAATACCACTTATTAGGTTTTTAGGCACGCTAGTCACGAATTTTATGTCAAATTAAAAGTTTGACAGTCGACAGCTGTCAAACGGACTGCCAATTTTTATAAAAATCAGAGAATCTTTTTAAAAACGTTATTGATAAAGTTTTAAAATATGCTGATCACGAATTTTACGTCAAATTAAAGCTTTGAGAGTTGACAGAGGTCAAATTGACTGTTAATTTTTCTGATAATAAGAAAATGTTTTTAAATGCTACTGGTAAGGGTTTTAGACACACTAGTCACGAATTTTACGTGAAAATAAAACCTTGAGATTTGACAGCTGTCGAATGGGCTGTCAATTTCTCTAAANTTGATAAAGTTTTAAAATATGCTGATCACGAATTTTACGTCAAATTAAAGCTTTGAGAGTTGACAGAGGTCAAATTGACTGTTAATTTTTCTGATAATAAGAAAATGTTTTTAAATGCTACTGGTAAGGGTTTTAGACACACTAGTCACGAATTTTACGTGAAAATAAAACCTTGAGATTTGACAGCTGTCGAATGGGCTGTCAATTTCTCTAAATATAAGGAGAATTTCCCAAGAAGTAAACGTACTGTTCTCGAGTTCTATATTACATTCAAACTTTTTCAGTTGACATCTCATAATCAACTGTCATTTTTAGTTGAGTAACACAATATATTTGTTAAGCAAAATTACTGATTTATTGTATTTGATCGAACATATTTAAAATGAATTTATGGTCAAATTACGAATTATTAACAATATTTATAAATGGGCGATAGTTGTTCAGCCCAAACAATTTTTTAAGATTTTTTTTTATACCAAATTGGTGATTTCCAAACCTAAAGTTTTCTCATTTTCAAATAACGTTGTTCAGGTTTGAATTTTTGTTGATGAGAAATTAAAAAAAAGCAGATGGCCCCAACTACCACCAGTTCACGTATGTTCAAACGTCTACCATACACCCTGTATTAACGAATATTACAGACAACAAATTAAAATAGAAATGACGAAATATTTTTTTACTCATCTCTGTCACTTTCAACAAAAACTGAAGCATTTTGAGTTGAGTTCACTTCTCGAAGAGGGGATCGGTCTCATACTGGATATAACAGGATCAGATGTTAAAATTAACATGTGAAATAAATCTTCGTTAGATTCCTTCCTGGTCATTTTTCGAGTGTTATGCTCGCGATACCATCTGAAGTCTTTGTTGCGAGCCTCCTGGGCTTCCTCAGAAAAATGTCCTACTGGTAAATGAATAGATACCAAAGGCAATACCAAATGTCATGCAAATTTAGTAATTTTTTAAATTCTTGGGCGCCATATTGGATACAGAAGAATAACACATGTGTCCAATAAGGAAGGGTGTAATATTCGGCAACGATAACTTCCGATAACAGCCTTCGGAGTTGCCATGAATGCGAAACTCTAAATAGCA